ATACTTTCATCCTTATTGGCTAACACAATGTTTTTTATGCCCTTGTCTTATTTGATGAGGCAGCAGCCAGAATAGATACAGTCTTGGTACCGATCTGACCTAGAGAATCATCTACATGACTGAGTCAGCAGAATGATACAACCCTTATAATTATTATAAAATTCTCATATATTTTATGGCTTATATTTGGTAGTTCATATTTGAGCAACTTTGTGTAACATAACTTAAGTGCCATTTTTGATGAATAACACCTTACTGGGTCTACCATCGATACGAATAACCTCTCCATCAAGCACCAATATCCACCCATCTTCCTTCATTTCCATATGGAATTTTCACCAATTGTATGTGTCGGAGCATGTAGCGTTGTTATAAATTCTTCCAACCATGCTGGAAGGATGCCAGTGATTTGGGGCTACAGCCGAGGTTCACATCACTAAAAACGCTAAAAGTTACATTCTGGCGAAGTGAAAGCTGACAAATATTCACGACATTAAAGGCTACGACAATTGATCACAGCATTAATTCCTTGATCCACTGGATTCCAGCAGATCTTCTCAACTGCGCTACATTACAACGCTATAGTGACTATTTATCAAAATTTACCAAATCCTCTAATTTATCATAGTCCATCGGATTTTGTCTTCTGTACAATCACTTTTCCCGTTCTTCAGTTCTCTTTCAAGATCCTTTTTGCGCATCCAGATTATTTTGCTGAATTCTGAAATCACTCAATTTTGAGTTTGAAATAAACCTTATTGTTAGCCTGTCTGAGGCAACTATAATCTCCACTACTGTGTCCCATATACCTGGTTGCTTACTTGGGTTCACAAGAGCTAATCACTTTTCAAAAATTGAACTGGCTTCATCACTTATATGATCAGCCGACAATTTCTACCTAGGTCGCATCATTTAAAATTTTCAACCTCTGCATATCAAAACACCTCATAATTTACCCTTTGCATTTACTTCTGGCATGATCGTCTTTTACAGGTTATCTTTCACTCCTGATATCTTTCCATTTTAGCCAATCCCTATAATTCTAATCCTCTCGCCGATCATATGGTTTTCCATTTTCCATTTTCCAGAGGGGCATCTAGCAGATTACGGGCCGTAATTCTAGCCTATTTTAATCACTTATGAGGCCTAATAAAATAAGGAAAATGAAGCATTATTTATTATTTTGGGCGGGATATATCACGATAGTAGATCTACTTCGGATCAATGACAAGAATTTATTATATTTTGGAGCGCAGGATTAAACCATGAGAATTATAGGGCATAGTACTAATTTGTAGTTGTCCTATTTGTACTGAGCCGCGTATTGGTGTGTTTTGAAATGATCATAGATTTTAGGACAAAGATTGAATGGTCTACTTGTGATTGCAGCTTTCCTTCACCTTATAAAGTTTGGTGGATAATTTGGTTTCTTTCTTTGGCAATACCACGTAGATATGGTAGGGAACGTGTCAGAAACCGCATTCTTGGCTTCACTAGTTACTTGTTCGTAGTCGTTCGGGTAATCTAATCGATTGCCAGATGCGAAAAAATAAATCTTCACCATCCACATGTCAATTTTGGTGAGCTGTTGCGGGAAACATAATCTACTTGATGCAAGAAAGACTTTCAACGCATGCGTCTTTAAGTGCAGTCCATACTGTAATGATATACTAAATCAGTCCCCAATTCATTCATTCATTTAGTAGACCAATGGCAGGCTTGTTAAAAAAATAATGCTCCATACATTATTCAGTTTCCATGATGATCTGTCGTTAGGCAATTTTAGAAGCTAATTCCTTAATTCCTACAATGTGATCACATACACTGCTATATACGGATGCTTTCACAACACATAAGAATGAACACACTCTATAACTAGTCATGGGTATAGAATGAAGATGCGCCGTCGCGGAAACACCAAAGCTGATGTGCTTCTACCTGCTCTACTCCAGCTACCACCAGCTCCAGCACAACCGGTCCAACAAACACAATCAGCCCTCCACAGCATCCAAAACAACCAACAGAACGATTTATATGCTATGATGTACCATCTTGATATACCCGAATCTCAGGAGAATAGTCCTCAAGGCCCTATTGGATGGCTTGAAATGAGAAAAGGATGGACTGGAAGATGATAGAACCTGAAAAATTCTTTAGGGCGTCCGACGACCCTGATAATTGGAACCATCGCATTCAATATCCATTTCTATGAATATATTTTTGCATTTCTGATATGTTCTTCATCACTACCTTTTTTGGATGATGGTTATATAAACAAAGTAAAGGATGAATTTTATATGTCACCTCTGCAACGAAGGGTGCTCTTGCAGTACCTA